TTTCATAATATATTTTTGATTTTGTTAATCACATGGAGTACAAATTAAAAACAAGATCGCATCGATAAAAACAAAAAATAAAGTCGGTGGTATGGACCGGAGAAAGATTCCCAACAGTAGAACTCGTATCAACAAATCAAGAGTCGTATCGAGAGACACAACTATCCGAGTAAAGTGCAGCAAAGAAGGGAGTATTAGCCGTGGGGTTGGCATCCCCAAGAGATGCAGTATGCAGAGAACAAGAGAAGGGGGGTGGGGTTGGTTGTGTACGCGTCAGATCTACCGCTGCACCGAGCTAAGCTCGCGCGGTCCGAACTCCATGCAGATTTCGATAATTTCGGGCTCGCAGCCGCAGCCGACGACGTCCATCGCGTAATACTCAAAGTTGTGTGCAACCCTCCCTCTCTCTCTCTTTGGTCAGGAGTTACGATGTATACACACATACACACATGTATACATTCACATACGCGGTCGAGCAAGGGTGCAGGCCAGTGTAGGTGGCAAGCAGCACCTCCTCCTGTTCGGTCTACTGCGGACTTTGCTCGTCTCTCTTTCTCTGGCTTCCCCTCTCGCTTCTGCTGAGTTGGTAGCCCAAGCCGAGAGCCGGGCTGCTTGCCTGCCACCACCTTATTTGAATTTCTAATTAGGAAACCTCCATGCAATTATTGGATTAATGTAAATTACGAGAGCTGGCTCGGTCTCCGCTCACAGGGGTGGAACACCCCCTCTCTCTCGCTAGCTGTGTGTGGGTGTCTGTCTGTCTGTCTCTTTCCCCCCCCTACACCACCCTTTATTTCCCAGCGCTGGTATATACTATACACCATCGCCCAGAGTTCGGAGCTCGCGCTTTCTCTCGTTGCCAGGGGTTGGGGATAATTAAAATCCGTTGATTAATATGTAAATTTAATAAGATTACTGTTCTAGGAATGCTCGATGCGGACGGGAACGAGGCGCGAGGGCTCGTCCCCGAGAACCTAGACCGGAGCGTCCTCTCGGCACTACTACCGCTGTTTTACCCCCTATAATGCCGTGACCTCCTCCTTCCCCCTACTGACCTATGTCTAGCCTCTTTTTTGTTTGCTTCCCTACACGCGTGGCTACAAAACACCTTAAACGCGTGCCTTTCATGATATTTGTTTGCTGCGAAATAAAACTTGCGTGTTGTGCCCGGTGAAAAATCCGGGATGGGGGAGGGGGGTGGGTTTCCAAGGGTGGAGCTTTTAAAAAAATACAGCAGGGCACTGGGTGTAGCGACGCTTTCGCGCGCCTCTCGATTCCTAGTTGCGAAACGCGAAGAGTCATGGAAATACAATTTGAAAAGTCTGACAATACATTCGATTTGCGGGTGGGGGGAGGGAAGGGGGTGGACGAAAAAAAAGAGGCAGTAGCTCCGGGGGTAGCTGCAGCTTTGTTCCCGGCTCGGAAAAACACAATGGCTCCGATTGGCAGGCCCGGATTTTTACGAGAGATCGCGGGAAAAAAAAAATTTTTTTTCCCCTCCCTCCCTGCCCCGCCGTGTGAGCCGGCCAGTGTCTCGTATAATCGCCGGAGCGTCATCCCGTTACTCGCGATTTGCATACCGCGGGGGTGCGCGAAGAGCTGCCGCTGGAGACCAGGGGACGAGGGGGTGGACTACAGGAGCTCCAAAAAAGGGTTGGATGTGTAACGGCTGATTTTACTGTCACGATCGCTTTTTTCGGCCCGCCCCCACCCCATCTCCTTCCTTTCTCTTCGATTGGTTTTCTCTCTCTGTCCCCTTTGTCGATCGACGCACACGTACAGGTACATGCGAGCATGTACGCTCGTTTTCGTTTGCAGTAACATCGGCCCCCGAAAAAAGTATGGACCTGTCGTTTGGGGGGGGGGGGGTCGCGCTTTTTTCTCCCCCCCACCTACCTGCGAACCCCTTCTCTCGTTGCCGAAAAAAAAATCGATTTTACGCCGCTCGCGCTGCTGTATTGTGCCAACGCTATACACACGGGTGCGCGTTTGGTACTGTACTTAGTGCTCTTCATTTTTTTTTTTTTTTCCTCGTCCCCTTCAGCCTCTGGTCGTTGCAATTCGTTTTTATATAGATGTCGCGAATGGAACAACAGCAACGGGCGAAAATGCAAAAATGCATAGAGCAGTTTTTCACGCGAAATATTTCTTTTGCCCCCGTGGAGTCTATAATTTTGGCAAAAGTCCTTTTTACACCATTATAAATTGTCACTCGTAGAGAACAGCGGGAGGGGAGATGACATTGCGACTAAAGTATATTATTGCGGTGGCGGATGCACGATGAAGGTATAGGTTTCAGTGATATTCTACGATTGCACGAAATAAATAACATAAGTTAGCGTAGACAACGTTTTAGCTCCATTCCCCGCAAAAGTCGACGCAAATGCACGAAAAACAGAGCTGCAGCGTCTTCCAAAGTGCACCTCGTCACAAACTTCTTGTGCGCGTCAAGGATCCACGCTCAATTTTACCCCGCCGAACCTACACGCGAGTGGCCGCTAAAACCGTACGGTATACACACACGATGGGGGGGCCTTGAGTGCTCGTCAAAATGATCAAACCTCGTTCCATTCGTCCATCTTTTTCTCGTCGCGCAGCCCGACCCTCCTCCTAAAAGCGCACAAATGTATGCAAATAGAGCGAGAAGGGGGGGGGGGCTCCGGACGCTGGGCTAATAAACCCGATAAAAATAATGCACTTTCGGGGGCGCATTTGCAAATGAACGTCATGATTTCATTGGGAGGCCACTCGCTCTGCCATTCGGCTCGACTTCACTGCGCTCGTACATGGCGCAAAAAAGTGAGGCCCGAGGAGGAGGGGCATACAGAATTGACAGCCGCAGCTCCCGTACACGCGCATACACGCAGCCGTGCCGGAGATAATAATTATGGATATTGAGAATACAGCCGTAATTGACGTTCCGTGTTGTAGATATATATACATATTTCTCCTTTTCGCCCCGCGGTCCAGTTAAACAAATTTACTTGTGTCCGTCATCTCTCGCTTGATGTATGCTACTCGCGCTCGCCTAGACACTGTACATCAGGGAGATGCTGTTTGCTCGCCGTGATTTTTGCCGAGGACTAAGAGCTCGTTTCGGCGTCAATTATCGTAAGGGTGTCGATGGGATGCATGTACGTATGACCAACTTCCATGGGGGGTCCATTGTGTTTTGTATATCTCTCGGCTTTTTGTGGTATTCAAATTTCAACTCACACGCAGCCCAACTTATACCTGGTTGCGTTTCTTTGTACAAAATTTTTCAATTCAAAAGGGGAGGGTAGCTGGATTTGTTTTGCTGCCATTGCTTGATTTTCCGAAAAAGAAAAAGTTTCAAAGCGTCCATTGAAAATGAAGGGCGCGCGCGTGTGTTTAATCATCTTAATTGGTTACGCTTGTTCGGTATGGTACATTATCACGCGTGCAATGACCGTAAATTTTATTTGGCGCGGTCTCGGTAAACTTGGATATTGAATTATTCATGGATGAAAAAAAAAAAGAAAAAACTGCCCGAGAACGCGTAGGTTTTGCAAGAAACGCATATTCGTATGTGAAAATACAAACTCATATCCTGGCGAAAGGTAATAAATTATGATAATTTTTTTTTTTTTTTTTTTTTCTTTAGCGCAAATCGCGTCCTTCTACGTGAATATTCACGAAATAATGCACACGCGTACGTAACTCTATTATATCATCGTTGCTCTCCCTTTTCCTCCGATAACTCGTAATGTATTCAGGATCTTTTAATCTCTTCACTTCCAGGCATTCGATTAGTTGAATTTATGATTCTCGCGCCGAGACCTTAAATCACGTAATTTCAAGTGCTCGATGCATAAAAACTCACACGGCACCCGCGTATCGCGATCAATTCGACAGCTAAACTCCAGTCGGACTGGAATGTGTAATTACCACTGGCGTGTCCATCTATCTCGGCTGGTGTCGCGCTTCAACATTATTATGAGCTCTATTTGGGCGGAGTTTGACTTTAAAACACGGCTCTGGCGTCGGTATAATTATGCGAGGGGCGAAACAATGCCCGCGGCTCTCCCCCGTGATAATATATATTACGGGCTCGTCCGCGACTTTTTTGCAAGACAAAGGCAGACGACTTGTATCGCGCTTTTCGCCCCCTGAGTTTCAGCTCCCTCCCTCTTCTTCAGCCGCGCGTGGAGTTATACCCATTTTCTACTTTTGTTACCGCTACCGTTGGATGTGTATATATATATACCCGCTTTCCCCTTTCTTTCCTTTGCAGACGCGCCGGCTATAACAAAAATGGAACTTTCACCGACTCCCCGGCGCGCTCTTTTCGAGAAAAAGTTATTTTAAAAAGCATTGAAGATATTTGGAATTTTAATGCGCGACCTCTCCCCCCCCCTCCGCGAGTATAGGTATGTATACATGTACGTGTATCCGCTGGAAAAGTTTGCCGCTACGCGGGATAATTTTAATTATTCCATTTTTTCAAATTGCGCCCGGCCAACTTAATTAAGCAATTGTTTTACGCTTTCTTTCTTCTTTTTTTTTTTTTTTTTTTTTTTTTGTTCTCCCCACCCCCCTACTACTCTCCCTTTATTTTTTCTCTGCGCGAAATTATTTGGAAAAATTTGCATGAAAGTGAGCGCGCATAATTTATAATTCCCGCGTGAAAGTTTAAAAAGAATAATAACCCCGACACCCACGCGCGAAATATTATAATGCGTGGGCTTTTATTTTATGCTTATTTTATATTGTACACTTCCTTCGTGAACGTAATAATTTTCGTGCTTTTCATCCTTCTTTTTTTTTTCTCTCTTTCCCCCTCTGTCTCCCTTTTTTTTCAGTCGACTGTGTATAAACAGGCATAAAGAATGAATTAATGTATACAAATTGTAATGCAGGGACCAGTTTTTCCAACATAATAATTAACAAATAAGACGTTGTAGCTTGTCTGTAATTGTAATAATGATTAATTTTACATCAAAGGAGTAACGTGGAAAAAAAAAACCTTTCTGTTTCAGGTAAATTATCCAAACGGGCCTCAGTCATCTGACTCTTTGCTAAATGGAAGAGACTCGATGGTAACGTATTATTTAATATGGTTATAATCTTGTAAATATAAATATGTAGCTAGCAATTGTTTGAAAAAAAGGGTCGAAGCATTTATCCCGCAACCGAAGATCCCATACTTTATTCCTAATAAAATGAGTAAACATCCAACAATGTAATAAATGCAAGATTGTTTTTTCGAATTGTTATTTTTCTATTTTTTTTATTGCAAAAAGAGTGAAAAATACTGAGCTTTCATTACTATCTTATTCTTAACACCCTTGACAATACATTGCAATAGCAATGAAGATGTGCTGGTACAAATTATAATTTCTTTCGCGCGTGCCGTACTGCTGAAATGGACGAAAACCGAAAGAAACGGAAGATAAAAGAGAATGTGGGGAAAAAAAAGACGTAGAGCCTACGCACGCAAACACTAACTTTGACATCGGAGACTCGGACGGGTGGAGTTTTAATAAACCCCGGGTTATAATATTAGTCGCGCGCTCCGTAGCGGTCCAGCTCTGCTCTTTGTAGATGTACTTTCCAGGAGAGCGCGCCGATTTTTAAATATAGCGTGGTCGTCGACGTCGCGCGTTTGGGACGACGATGTGCACACACACACGAGCCAGAGAGAGAGAGAGAGAGACGGGTATCGGCCGAGAGGGGGTAGGTATATACCTACACACGTGTAGGAGGGACAAGGAGAGCGAGTCAAAGCTTTGGCTGATCCACGAAAAAAGAGCCGAGCCGGAGAGCTCTCGCCATCCGTGCAATCTTTTGTTTAGCGAATTTTTCGATCATCAACGGCGCGTCCGTAATACCAGCAGCCCAGATAGTCGAGCACACCCCTCCCTCGCAAAAGTGCATCGCGGTGCAGGTGTGTGGGTGATGTGCATCTCCGCCCCGCCAGCAGCAACAACTATATATACACAGCGAGCTTTCGCACAAGTGAATTCTCCATCCCTCCTCTCGTGGTATCCATCTGTGGTGTGGGTGTGTGTGTGTGTACGGCTCTTCCGTGCTCGGCGGCCAGTGAAACGGAAGCGGAGGTGCTTATGGGCACCGCGTACAGAACAAAAAGAAAAAAAAAAAAAAAATTACGCCGGAATAGAAACAGGCCGCCGGGTGTTGCGCTGCTGTTGCTGGTGTTGGCTGGGGGGGAGGTAAGCCAGCCGAGAAAAATGGAGAACAAAGAGCGAGGCGCCCGCGAATCCGACGGTATAACTGCCCGGGCGCGCCCGAGTTCGGTGGTGCACGACACCCACCCACACGCGTCAGCCGGTTTTGTCTATGCCCGTTTATCTATTCCCTTTCATCGGCCGCTGGAACGAAAAAGTAAAGAAAAAAAAAAAAAAAAAAAAAAAAAAAGAATCGGCTCAGCCCGTGATCAGCCGTCTGCATGTACTGCCGGACCACCGACTCTTCCACCCTCTGCGTATACGTGTATATTCTCTTCTTCTTCTTCTTTGGCCCGCGCGCGAGCACCTATATACACACCCCTCGTATTACTCGATCTGCTTCGTTTTCGATATAAATTCAGTCTTTTGACGATTATCGCGCCCTCACGGCTGGCCTCTGTGAATCCATACGCGAATCAAGAGCAGCATCCCCGGATTTTTAATGCCGTTTTCTCTCTCTCTCTCTCTCTCTTCGTTCCACACCGTGCGAATCGATGTTTGGGAAAAAACACGGAGCCTACCCATCCGGAGGCTAAAAATACACTCGGTTATGATTGCGGGGATTATTATTTATCGGTGTTTATTCGGAGAAAGGGGCGGGTATAAAAGAAACGTCGCAAGAGCTTATTTCGAAATACCTAATCGAAAATAAATATACGAGAGACACCTATTTTCGAGTGGCGTAACCGATGTACACCCTCGCGAGACTCTGCGTAGGTGTATAGCGATCGAGCGAAAACTATACACATACACGTGTGGGGGTGGTGGTGGTGGTGGCCCGTCGCATTAATCTCCGCGCGCAAAACGAAATTTCGCTCTCGGCCGACAACACTGTAGAGAAAGTTCTATTAATAATCGCGGGGAAAGAAAAAAAAATTTTTTCCCTGCTCCTACACGCGCGCGCGTAAGTAATGAAACGTGTTCTCTCCCCGTGCGCGCGCGTCTTTCGCGTTTTTATTGGAAATAAAATTAGACGTCGCCAAAGGCGCACACGAGAGGAGAGCACGCCGGTGCGCGCGGCTCGTTTTAATTGGCTCTCGAAGGCCACATATCCCGCGCCCCGCGATTAACGTTTATAACCCAGCTCTGCCGTCCCTCCCCCGCGACGCGCCGCAGATAATTGCACGCGGGCGCTCGTCGACACCTCGCGGAGCCCCCAACAATTTGTCATTCGGACGAATTAGAGCTTTTCGCGGACCCCGTGTCGCTCTCCTTCCCGTGACACCGCGACCGGGTATAAATTTCGCAGGGGGTGGCCGCGCGGCAGCAAATAAAAGAAACCATACGCAGGAAGGGCTTTTGCTAGCGAATCGGACGAGGGAGGTTTATCGCTCGCTCGAGATGTTTCGTATGAAATACACATATGATAAAAAAAAATAGTTCCTATATATTTTATATACTCCCGCTTGTCGGTGCAACACAATGCAACTCGCTGCCTTAATTAAAACACACACGCGCGTGCGTGCAAGCTCGAGTATATATACGCAGCATCAGCGTCATCGTCGTCATTATCATCCACGGCTCCGGAGCGATAAAAACAAGCCAAGGATACGCCGGACGTCAAAGGAGGCGAGGGGAGCGGGTGTTAATTAGTCCTCGAGGAAATAACACATTATAGCCATATATATATACTTTGGAATCGGAAAGGTTTCGGGTGCCGGTGAAATAAGTCAAAGCAGAACATCAGAGCCAAGCTGCGCGGCCGATTCGACGGAGCTACTTAACGTGCACCCGCACAATAGAAAGCCATACACATATATATTTATATAGGCGTGTACGTATGGGACAAGAGTCACGTGTATTATATATACACATACAACGGAGGAAAGCTGCGAGTTAGAAGCTACACCTCTACTCGGAGCCATTGGCTTTGACGAATAAATTAGCGCGCGAGAGACGTCGACGTCGAACTAGAAATATGCATTACCTTCTCGCTGTGCGCGCGCCCGCGAGTGTGTGTGTGTACTTTTCCTCACTGCCGCATCTTCAAATACAAACTGCTATTCTTGGCTGACTGTACCGTGACGTGTTATTGTTTATACAATGCGAGACGTTTGGCGAAATTTAATTCATCTCGTCTCGCGTACTCATACTTTTGGACAAAGCTCCGAGGCAAAGAAACGGGAAAACGGATTCGTCTCGAGGCAATCGAAGGAAAGGAAAGAAAACGTCACGAGGGAAAGGCTCATTAAAATAAAATGAGTCCCCACAGAGGGGGAAAAAAAAACGGCTCTAAAGGTTTGCCAAACGTATACACCGCTAGAGACACCTCCTCGCAGGTAAAATGACAGACGTGGTGTATACGAGCGAAACAGCTGAAAAAGGTCGCGGGAGGTGGGGGGTAATACGGTATAAGCTAAGCGCGTATACTCGGATGCATATACAGCGGAATCCGGATGCAAGCAGGCGGTCGCCGTGCACGGGGAAAGTGGAGGCGCTGGAGTGAGCCGAGCTCTCGCGTAAAGCACGCCGGGGGGATATTAAGGCCATTATCGCCGTTGCATATTCATGATGCATTATAATGAAAATACACTTTATTACCGAAGATTAACAGCTTCTTACGGTATATACATATGACGAGGACGACGCGCCAACGCGGTGCACATATATACATGTATATATATATATCCCCGGGACGCGTGTGCGTCTGTCGTTTCGTTCTCCCTCTCGTCTTCTTTATCACCGGCATTCGTAAATTTCGCCTAGATTTAATTGTTACCGCCGTGCCACCCCCCCAGACCCTCGTTAAGCAAAAACAGTATCAGCCAACTCGCGCCGTTTCGAGCCGACGTTTTACACCAGCTCGGACGAAATTGAAACACCGCCAACCTCAAAAGTTGTTTGCCGCGTATATATATATATATGCATCATCCTTTACTTGCTCGCCCAAGGGAGGATGAGCTGCAGAGAGTCGTAAAATCGCTCCTCGGCCGTGTACAGCTATACGTGCCTCGTGATCAATATTCTCGCGCTATCGCGTACAAATCACGTGACAAAACTGAAAGTTTACGCCCCGTAAATAAGTGAATAATTCATTCGCCGTGCGCTTGTTAACTCTCTGTGTATGAGAGAAGCGCAGAGAGTGCCGGTGACGGCTATTGGTGTTGGAGGAGGGAAAAAAAAAAAAAAAACAGTTGGAAGAAGAAGGAGACAAAAGGGGGAGGGAGGGAGATATCTGCATAATATCGGTAATGCTGAAAATGCCGGTCGCGTAGGGCGCTGGAGTCTACTGCGTCAACTAAAACTTAATTATAATTAATTAATGCGACTCTGGCCCGACGACGAGAGAGTTGGCTGGACAAGTATTGGCCTCCGCGAAATAGACGCCCTCGTTTTCTGCCCGAGATCGTGAATCGACTGTCGATTCATTATAAGCGTATACGATTATCCGCTGCTTTGTATGCCTTGATCGACTTGCTTTGCGCAATCCAACAACTTACGAGCCCATTTTTCAAATTCATTGCGAACGGCATTGGGCATCACTCCGTTTCGCGGTATGTAGTACCTTGTACAAGTATACCCTCCAAACCTATATATATATATATATATATATATATATATGTCCATCTATCTCG